TTCAGTTGGAAAACGGTCTGCCAAGAGCTGTGGCATAGATCCTGTAATGTTCTCTGAAATAAGTTCTCATCAGCTGAGCACCAACTCCTGTGTGGCACAGCAGCCTCCAGGCAGGAATGCCTTGAGGAGGTAACTGCAGCCATTTTGTGCCACTTGGGTGTGAGCAGAGGTGTCCCAGCCCTGGGGATGTGCAGAGAGCAGCAGGCCGTCTCCCTGCCCTCCTCCTGCCCACAGCAGATCAGTTCTTTCTAATGCAGGGGCTGTGAACTGCAGCTGTGGTAGAAGGTGTTCCGGGTGCTGTGGTTCTGCAGACTTTAATGCCAGCAGCAAGGTCACAGCCACCAGCTATAGCAGTTTGAGGCCCAGCAGCCTTACCCTGCCTGCCCTGTGCTGCTCTGTGTGCCCACCCAGTGGCTGCAGAACGGATAGTGCTGTGCTGCACAGCCGTGGGGCTGAATGCAGGGCTGTGGCATTCTTGGGGTCAGGCAGAGCCCTGCAACATTTGGTCACTTGTACTCCTCCTTTCCAAGGCTCATTTCCAGAAATCAGATTGCCCAAAATATGAGGCCAGTTTTGCCTTACAATCATTTCTCATTTGACAAATAATCCACAGCAATGTGATGCTGGAGGACCGAATGCATAGCAGATTGTGTCTCCTTATTTTCATGCTGTCTGTCCTTCCTGGAACCCACCCTGCCTTTTCACGTGACCGCTGCCTTTCTCCTGCAGGCTCTCCGGGAACGGCTGGCCGGGTGTGCAACCAGACCTCCCGCGGCATGGACAGCTGTGAGGTGATGTGCTGCGGCCGTGGCTACGACACGTTGCGTGTCAGCAGGATGACCAAATGCGAGTGCAAATTCCACTGGTGCTGCGCGGTGCGCTGCCAGGACTGCCTGGAGGAGGTGGACATCCACACATGCAAGGCGCCCAAGGCTGCGGGCTGGGCCTCCCGGACATGACGTGTGGTGCAGGTCTGCGCAGGGAATGCTTCTGAGGCCTTTGCTACATTTACGCCAGTTTTCTCTTTCATTACACAGAAGCTGCCCAGTGATCATGCTGAATTTGCAGCGTTCACTGCACGGTTCAGCAGGACCATGCTGTTGCACAATTTGTGTGGACCAACGGCTGTGCTGGAAGGAGCTGCCACCACTGGGCCTCCCATCCGACACAGACCCCCATCTCCTCACCGGAAGCCCTTGCTGCCACCGCAAGCACGGTGGGGCCCCAGGATGAGGCCTATCCTACTGGGCCTCCCGCTGCCATGGCTGTGGCTTCCTCCAGAGGACCTGCTGCTCTGGACGCTCAGCCTGTGAGGCTGCAGGGCTCGGCACTGGTCAGGAGCCCCTCCATGGAAAGCTCTGAGGCCAGGATGATTCCACAGCTCTGCTGGAGTTGAATTTGTCCATCTACCCAACACGGAGCTGTGTGTGCGCTGCGGGGCCCTCTGGGGCATGAGCTGTGCTGGGCAGAGACTGGCCCATAGCAGAAAGGAGAGAACAGGAAATGCATTCAACTGCAACAGTCTCATCTGCTATAAAAGAGTGAAAGCAAATGCCTTTGGTATAAATTTGTGACAGTTTGCCTTGAGAGCTTGTTAAAGGTCATTAATATTAACCACTGATCTGAAGGATCAAAGAAAATATCTTTGTTTCTGAGCCCAATGACGTCTGGAAACAGGATGCTCAACTACGCAGGGATAGGGTTTCCTATTTGTCATTTACATAATAAACAGGAAAACATGCAGAAAGTTGGTGGAGAAGGCAATGCCTTATCTTAATAATTGGGTTTTGTTCTATAGAGTCTATCAGCTCTCACGTTGTTTTAAATTTAATAAACCTATTCAGTATGCTTAAACTGATACTTACAGTTCAGGTGCAGTGAGGCTTGCTCCAAATCCACCCTACACAAACCCACAGCTGATGAGGAGCACGCTGGCCTTTGATGGTGGCAGTGGCAGACTGCCTGGGCCCATGTCCTGCCTGGCTCAGCACACAAAGCTGAGCGACAGCAATGGCTGCAGGTGACGAGGCCTTGGGACCATGGCCTTGCTGGAGAAATGCTGGGGGCTGTTGTGGACGGAGATTGTGACTCTGGGTACAAACCGAGCGCTGCTGAGAACAGCCCTGCCAGCTGTGCGAGTGTTACACGCATACATGTGTGCAATGGGATACACGTACCCCAGTGCACATCTAAGGTCAGTGGTTATGATATTGGCCTCATTGCTGGAAACTCTGGTTCTAGGTTGGACAAGCAAAATTTCACACCTGATTTTATTTAGAGGTCAGCCCTAAGGAGAACTTTCATTCAGATTTCACTGTGAAATTGAATCTGCATGGAGTTCGTAGTCTGAGCAAAGCCTTACACTTAAAGAACCTAGAAGCAGTACAGTATTATTTGTGTGTGCCACGTGTTCGGAAAGATTCAGGGATCTGAGTGATGTACAAATTCAGCAGGTAATAATGCTGGAAGTATTTTGATATTCTGGAAAAAAGGGCGCCTCAGTTCTGCGAGGGAACTTGTCCTGGGAAGTCAAATAAAAGAGGATGAGATCAGCCTCACCTGCTTCTTAATGTCATCATTTGGTTCACAGGATCGTTAGGCTAGAAAGGACCTCTAAGAGCATTTGATCCAACCATCCACCTAGAACAACAGCAGGAGAATGCACCTGAGTTCTGCAGCCCCATGTAAAGTGTTTCGGGATCATTGTATTAAAGGTGCCAGAAATTTTATTCTGGCAGAAGAAATACTGGGAAGCCTGGAGCAAGACTGACACCTTACTGGGAAATGTGGCTTAGATACACATCTTGTTACTTAAGCCCTTATTTCACCTATACAAGAAATGATGTAGAAATTATAGAATCATAGAATGGTTCGGGTTGGAAGGGGCCTTTAAGATCATCTAGTTCCAACCCTCTGCCATAGGCAGGAACACCTGCCCCTAGATGAGGTTGCTCAGAGCCCCCTCCAGCCTGGCCTTGAATGTCTCCAGGGAGGGGGCAAATAATGAATGAAAAATGTAATGATGAATTTGCAGATAGAATGACCTTTAAAAACACATTTTCTGACTGCTTTGGGGCTTTTAATTTGCTTTCATCTTAGAGGGTTTTTAAAAGTTCTTGGAAACTGCACTTCCTGAATGCATGGCACTATGGCTGCTGTCACTGTGTGGGCTGCTCACTCTCATCAGCACTTCTTCTGCCTCTTCCACAAAGAAAGCACTCCTGGGAGCTTCTGCCATTTCAGATTGGCCAGAAGTCAGAGTGCTCCTCTCTGCACTAAGGCAGAGGCTTCCTTCTGTCAGCAGAAGCGCAGGCTGCACTTCCTGATCTGGGCTGTGCTGAGCTCCCCAGCAGCAGAGTCCCAGGCTGCAGCCTCTGTCCAGTGGCAAAGAACCCCAGTCTGACCGCCTGGTCTCAGCTGCCCACCATTCCAATTACAGCTCAAAAGGTACGTGCCAGATCAAATCCATCGCTCCTTGCTGCTAAGGGAGGTGGATATTAGAGATAGCAGAAATAATCATATCTGACATTTTTGAGTTCTTCTAAGTTCCTGTAGTTCAAGTGAAGGCTCTGATTGTTCATTCCAAGGAGTTAAGCATTCTTTTCTCTCCATCTGTTACAAATAATGATTTCCACACAGACAGTCGTTCACATTACCTCTTCCCCTAGCAGCAGGCCAAACTTGTACCTTGATTGCTGGTAAACATCAGCATCTGTACATAGCTACGTAGACACCGATATGCAAACACACTTCTGTTAGGACTGTTAATCACAACACTTTCCTCTTCTGAAATGTAGGGCATTATATAAACTAACTCCAAAAGGTTTTGAGAAGGCTGGGATGAGTGACACAAAACCACAGGACAGTTGAGAGCTAACTGAGCACAGCCACCAGAGGCAGACTGTGCCTGCCCCTTCTGGTTCCACAGCACTGCTGTGAGATAACAGGTGCATGAATTACCCTTAGTTTTACCACTGCTCGTGTGCAGGTGTGCCTGCTTTGAGGGTGTTCCCTGTGGCTGTTTTAGCAATTCAGATGCAAAACCAAGAATACATGTATCAGACCACATTTCCACATGTTGTCCATGAGCAAACCTCCTCCTGCTATCTCAGGCCACATCTCACATGAAACATAAGCCACACTAATTATGACACAGGAGAGGACTGGAGCACCTCTTCTGTGAGGAAAGGTTGAGGGGACTGGGCTTGTTTAGCTTGGAGAAGAAAAGGCTCTGGGAGACCTCACTGTGGCCTTCCAATACTTGAAAGGAGCCTATAAACAGGAGGAGGAACAGTTGTTTATGAGTGTAGATTGTGATAGGACAAGGGGGGATGGTTTTAAACTGAGACAGGGGAGGTTTAGGTTAGATATTAGGAGGAAGTTTTTCACTCAGAGGGTGGTGATGCACTGGAACAGGTTGACCGAGGAGGCTGTGGATGCCCCATCCTGGTGGCATTCAAGGCCAGGCTGAATGTGGCTCTGGGCAGCCTGGTCTGGTGGTTGGTGCACACAGCAGGGGGGTTGAAATTAGATGAGCGTTGTGGTCCTTTTCAACCCAGGGCATTCTATGATTCTATGACATCACAGCAAACTACTTTGCAGCCAGCCATGGGGCTCTCTGCCTTCTGTGTTCTTCCTAAATCTCACTCTCACAGCCAGTTTCTCCTGGCACGGGGCTGCCATGTTTCTCACCATACAGCAGTGTTTGCTTTAACACAGCTCGCTTGGCCAAAAGCCTTTCTCCTGTGTAGATTAGAGAATGTGTGATCAAAGGGCAAAAATAATGCAACCATTAAGGAACACTCTCCTTTTACACCAACTCCAGCAATGGGAGTTTCATCTTTGCTCTTATTGACAAACGAACATATCTCAGTGCCTTAAACTGTGAATAGTAAGTGCTTTCTCATTAACTGAGTTGTGGTGAAGCAGATGCTCCAGACACACTCAAGCACACAAAGCACAATGTGAGCTTTGAAGAAGAAGCCAAAAGACAGCAATGCTGCAATACACAAAAGTTTATTTTTGTCTTTTCTGAAGGCAAAATATAATAGAACCTAACATCAATGAATTTTGTACAACGAAACAGTTTTTATATGAGAACAGACAATCCATGAAGATTTTTTCAGTCTTAGAACTGCTTCCCTTTTTTATCATGCTTTCTTGTGGTCAACCAAATGTTGGCACAGCAGATGTCGTGGCAGTCAGTCAGCGGGTGCTCCCTCAGATCCTCGTCAGCTGGTGCCACAGGCTGGAGGGCAGGATGCTTTCTACTTTCTCCATCACAAAATTCAAAGGGGCAAAGAGGGTGCTGAGAAACTGCAAAGAAAGCAGACACATTCAGATCAAAATCCTGGAGACAGTACTCAATGCAAAGCTGTCCAACACGACAAGCTCTTGCTGTTTGCTTCTGTAAAACCCTCTAAGCATGATCAAAATTAAATAATTCAAGCATAAAGCCCTTATGCCAAATTCTGAGCCTTGTGCATCCAGAGGTTTCTCAGTTTTGCAGCCAGGCAAGAGAGATCCCCATTTTTACAAAACTTAAAGCGCTGAACTACAAAAGTCCCCCACATCTCATATCCCAGGCTCAGGCTCACACTGAAACAACTGAAAACTCAACCCCAAACCAACTGAAGCATGAGAGAAAGGCTCTCCCATCACTGCAAAATTTGTCATGACCTGCCAGAGACAAAATGTGCGTCTTCAGGTTTGAAATGGTTCTCTGAGGTGTCATTAACTGGGATTCATCTCCATGTCCTCCTACTGTGGCGCAGTCAGTAACGGAAGAAATTTCAATACATGAACATCATGACAGACATGACAAAATCAAGTTAATAAAGGCCAGTTTAGCACAGGAAAAAAATTGCAAATTGTGCACCTGAGAACAGAAGTAGTCACATACAGCTATTCTGGGGCTCTATGTAGGCACAGGAGCATACAATAATATGCAATGTTGACCACCTTGAGAATGAGCAAAGGCCAGTGTCAGCTCCCAGCACTCAGTCACCAGAACTGGTGACTGTGAAATACGGTAAATTGAGTTTTTGTGAAATGCAGTAAGTACCAATTTGCTGTAAAATAAGCCTGGAGTGTGATGATGATATTACTTCTGTGAAATGCTTTTGAGATTGGCCAGCATAAGAAAAAGAATAATTTTGAGCTGCTAATCCACAGTTTAATGCTGTCTGTAATATACCAGATAGCAGTGAATACCAAGCATACTGGAATAGGTACCTCAGTGCTCATAACCACAGCAATAGCCAACAAATAGCTCCTCTTTTAGTTAGAAAACCAGTTACTTATGAAACTACCTTCCTTAAAACTGAAAGGGAAGAGCTACAGCTGGCAAACCCCTGTTATTCTGTTCTGATACAACTGCATTTCAAAGAGCTATCTGCCATGACTTTCTGCAATCTCATGTCCCTCAGCTGCTTTTCCCAGAGCAGACAGCACTGTGAGCCTTTCCGAATTAAAGTCTTTTTGTGAGTCACTGAGTGAATGTCACATGCTCTTCCTAGGTAAAAGAAAAGCTAATCTGCTGTTTGTGGTGATTTATGAGGATGGAGATCCACCTAAATCCAGTCACTATAGCTGCTAACTGAAATACCAACTATGTCAATACAGGTTCAGAGATCCTCAGTAATCTAGTAATTTTACACACACAGTGCAGCCCACGTTTTGATTCTGTCTGTGCTTACGTTATTAGTCAGAAGCTTTATATGCTCTGATGGCAAAGCTTAACAGTCACATACAGAGTCTTGTGGTATCTGTTCTGTTAGTATCAATGGCAGCTGTTCCATACACAAATGAAGAGAGTCTTCTAGTCTTCTTCTAGTCTGACTCTACCCCTGAAATGGCTTTGGAGCTTGCAGGCTTCACACAATTCAGAAACAATAGCTAGCACAGCACCAGTGTCACTTCTCATACCTCTGTCTGGTTGCACTCAGCGACCACAGGCAGGTGAGTCAAGTTCACACAAACACACTGCCAAGTTTTGTCTGTTCCAGTAGCCTACAACTGCCTGTTGCAGGCACATGAAGTGCAAAACCTCATCACGCTGCCAGTTTGACACACAGCCCTTGATTCAGGACACAGGACTGAAAAGTACAGGGACAATTGCAACAGGCCATCAACTGCCAATCTCAGAAAACTGAAGATTATATGGAAAGGGCCCTCAAACGGGTCACGCATTGCAAAGACTCAAGGAGAGGAAAAAAAAAGCTTAACAAAGAAGTTTAAGAACATATGCCTGAATTTCATACTTACTGTCCACCAAGTGCATACATACACATTTAAGAAACAGGAGAAAGTAATCATGTTTCAGCCCCGAACCCCACAAAATCAAAAGCACCGGAGACATAAGACCTACATCAGGTACAAATATGTTTGAGAAAATATATTATTGCAGAGGATAATCCGTATTTGTTGAAGGAGGAGACAGAATTTTGACATCCAGCAACTCTTCAAGAAATTGATGTCTTTTCATATCCTAGAATATCCTACCAGGGCAATGATGTCCTTGGCTTTGCAATGAGAAAAGCATGTCAGCACTATTCATGGCCTTTCCCCCTCAGTCTCCAACTCTTACTAATCCTTGGGGGATTATAAAAGCAGAATTAGCGCACAGTTCCTTGGATGTAGTTAAGAAAAGTTATGAAGGAAATACTGAGATTGCTTTTTTCATGGCAGTTTGGGGAAGGAATGCAAATTTCTCCTCATTAACAACATGCTGTGTTTCTGCTTATGTGAAGAGTTTTCATTGCACTGGAAAGCATGTCACCTCTACACAAAAGGGGATACTCACTGCTTTTGCGAAGACCCCCATAAGCTCTGGGAACTGATGTGTCAGGAGAGCCAGCATGGCTGTGAAAGAACATAGGCCAGCAGTGAAGAGGATGAAGAAGGGAAGCTCTTTCTTGGGGTAAACTGAAACTTCATGAAATGCTGCAGGAGAAAGAAGGAAGAATGCACTGTATGTAAAAAAAAAAACAAACAACATTCTTACCTGGTTTAAACAGCCACAGTCATGACTAACATTATGTGACTGATGTTTTAATTTGGAAAGCCTATTAGATCTCAGTTTCTCACTGTCCTTTTAATTGAATGCAATTAAAGGCTGTGGACAGGTATGAGGAATCTATTTAGCAGGTCTGTATCTGCCACAGTATGTTAAACCCTTCCCTGCTCAAAGCCAACCATTCTGCAGTGAAATGCATTTCCTGTGCTGCAAGAGCAAAACATGACACTCTGTGTACATTGCTAAAAGAGTCCCTTACTTCTAGAATTTGAAAAGAAAAATGAGTTTTGCAACTAGAAAGAGTGCTGAGCTATTCTGCATGACTTTGTCATTCCTAAATCTCCTGACACTCCACCCTCCCCTGCTCAGTATCCCTCTGAGTAAAGCAGGCAAAACACTCTAGGAGGTGTTGTTATAATTAGGCTGATTATAATGGGGTGGGGAGTCGCTGTTGGTTGCCAAGCGTTTCTGCGTAGTATCAGTGAGAATGAACTGGGAAGGAGAGCCTCGGAGTGGGTGGATTTCAGCCCTGTTCCTCTCACCTTGCCTGTACTCAGACAGGCTCATTAAAAGTGGCAACACATTTTTTAGCCCAAAGCAGAGAAGTTATGACTGAAGGACGACAAAGAGTGCAAATGCCCTCAAAATCGGTGCTCACGGCAGAAGCAGACTTTCACTTTTTGTTAGAAGAATCTTTCTCTGTATTGATTCACCCCAGCAGAGAATGTGAGTGAGGAATCTCCTTCCTTGGATCAAGTCATATTTATCCCCTCTGCCCTTGTGCGTGTCCCATGTGTGCTCACACAAAGTCCCACTGACTTCAGTGAGAAAACATGTGGGAATGAAGTGTAACTGTTTGCAAGGACTGCTTCGGCTCTTCTTCTGAATTCCTGCACTTCACTGCAAGCACTGCAAATAGTTCCATTAGCTTGCTCTGAAACACTTGCTGAGGGCTGGGCCTGTCTTTATAGCCATATCTTGTCGAGCACGGGGAACTCTGCTGGCATGTTGCTAATACATGCCATAAATGTGTATGATAAATGACTGAGGTAATTTCAGTCTCTTTAGAATGGCACACACATCACTACACATGGAGAATCCTTTCTTGTTATTTTGGATTGCTTTTCAGAAGATGTCAAAATAATTTGTCAGAGTAACAGCCATGCTAATGATCTGGCAGTCCTCAGACAGGCTGGATCTTGCCTTGGAATGTAAGTAGCTAATTTGACTGCACAAAACTAACACCGCTGTGCAGCCGTGCTCTTGGTCTGATGTGGTGTTTCCTAGGTAAATGATCAGACGTATTTTCTACCGTCTTGGCAAGAGAGAATTAGCAAGATCTAACAGATACACATCTCCTTGGTAATCTCACTCCCTATCTCCACGCTGCAGACAACACTACAGATAGCTGATCATTATGACTGATGGCCTGAAACTGCCTTTTAAACAACTGTGAGCTCCAGAGGTTTGCTGTCACCTGACTGCTCTACTCCCCACTTGAAAATCATTGGGAGCAATCAGTAGTGCATGATTCAGATGAACAATTCCTTGGTGTCAGTGATAAGAAAAGTTGAACGTACACGGTAGTAGTTCTCTATCTGCAGTTTCTGTACAAATAGGGTAAGGGTAGAAAAGATGTCCTTTTTCCAGTGGATAGGGGATCATTCTGAAAGCTGGAAAGAAAACACCGTGCATTAATGACTGTGATTGTGGTACTCACTGGAGACATGTAATTGTAATTACACTTTTGAAGAACAAGCAGAAAAAAATTACATTTGGTTGCAACCAGTATATATATTGCTTAGCTAAATGTCAGAAAGCTTTTAATCCTGAAGACACAATTCCTTTATTCTTGGCAGTGTAAAGTCAGACCATGTTACAGGTGCATAAATACATGTTTGTAAGATATTAGCCCAATACACTTAAAATCCTATAGGAAAATGTACAGATTTTGTCATAGAATTTCAAGCAAGACAGGTAATACCGATCAGACAAGCCCAGGGAAACAGCTTTCCAACGCAGTCATGTTTCCATTTTATATTTGGCAATCAAAGATTAATGCTGAATTATTAAAACCAGGTTCCTCAAATGCATTCTGACCAGATAAAGTCAGGTTTCTGATATAAATCTTCAGGTCATGGACAAAACAATACTTAATCTTACAAACTTTTAAAATTGAAAATAATAACAGAGAGGGAGGGAAAGGCATTACTCAGTCTGGCCTGTGATGATGTCATGGGCCATCTGAGTGATGCTCGTGTGGTTTATGGAAACATCTATACTGACTGAATTACAGCTCTGCAATCAATGCATCCCTTTCCATTATCCGATATATAAATCTCACTCTTAAAGTGTAACTGATGTGTTTTTCTCACTATTCCTATGAACGTCAGTCACTGCAGAAATATTTTCCTCAGCAAATGTCCTAGAAGCACTGTATAGTTATTAGGTACAGCAACCCCTACATGATAATATTGCTCACAAGACAACAGAAGAATTAGTTTAAAATACATAAAACCCCAATGTTTTCAGTTGTGCGTGTGGCATCTGAAATAACACTAGCCATAATTTTTGTGCAATTCTACCCATGTTTATTTTTGATAACTGTTTAAAGCAGGAGGAAAGAAGGCAGAAATCCTCAGAGCACAGTTACAGTATGCCAGTGCACCTCCAGCTGGCACATGGCATTCTTGTATTTGAATACGACTGAATATTGTTATAAAATAAAAGCATCATGCTTCCAATTTCAGTATTTGGATTGGAGCCAATCTATACGACAGGTGTACAACTCAAATCAACATCAGTCACTGCTCTGTGGGAGACTATTGAGATAGATCTTAACACATTTTTGCCTGTTGTCAGAAACTTCTTAAATTGAGATAGAAAACTAAAGATATGCTGTTCCTTAGCTCTCTGTAAGTGGAAGATTCACGCTTCTAATTGCTTGTGTGGAATAAAACTACCTAACTAATAATGTTTTTTCAACAAGAAGTGCAAAATACTGTTGAATTATGAGACTCTCTTTGAAAGCACCTACAACCTCTCCATGTAGCTAGTGAGTAGCTGTGAAGCTAGCGCGATCTTCTTTACTGTTAGAACATGACCTTGCTAGAGGCTGCCTTAATTAGGAGTGACCTCCCATAAGAGGTCACCTTAGCAGCACTCATAATGTACCCCTAAGTGACTGATTGGCTTAAAGACAGCACTTAGTTCTACCTGATTTCTACAAGGTTAGAACTGAAGAGTACATACATATGGGCATTAACTTCCTACACACAAGCTGCTGAAGTGAAACTGGTGAATACAGTCAGAACAGCTCAATTTAAAGACATGACAAGCACGTGAACACCTAGAAAGAATGTGATGGCAACTGACCATATATGGCAGGCTGTTGGTACAAACATGTGCTTAATTAAATTCATTTCCTCTGTCATTTTCCACTGGATTTAGCTTAGAATCAGACAGAGATAATAAGGAAATCTTTGTCAAGGAAAGGACGTAAGAGTGACATAAATAGCTTAGTACATCCTTGAATATATTACTTATTTACATATTACTCATATTAAGATATGAACCGAAAGTTATAATTATTTGATTAAACCTGAGTGAAAACTTTAAATCTATGGCCATTTTCATGCATGAGGGAAACCTGAAAAACAGTCTTAAGGACTTCTCTCACTGAAATTACTGTGCAAAAAAAATTACGGATTTTTCTTTACAGATTATGCAATAACAGTAATTTACATCTTGCAGGCTAGCTAATAGACAAATATTTCATAATGAATTACATATTCAGATTGCTGAGGCAATGAAGAGAGGAATCAGTTTGAACAGTTAGACGGAAGGCCTTCAGGCACAGATGACAAGAGCTCGTACTTGGCAGGATGACTGCAATGTAACCAGCCTCCAGTGCCAAAAGCTGCTCCTGTAAGCTACCCCTTAGGCACTCCTCAGTTTAACAAAGGTCTATTCCCACCAGCACTGGGAAGCAGTGTGCCCAGGTGGCCAAGGCCAATGGCATCCTGGCTTGTATCAGGAATGGTGTGGTGAGCAGGACTAGGGAAGTCATCCTGCCCCTGTTCTCTGCACTGGTGAGGCCTCACCTTGAGGACTGTGTTCAGTTTTGGGCACCTCAGTACAGAAAGGACACTGAGGTGCTGGAGCAGGTCCAAAGAAGGGCAACAAGGCTTATGAAGGGCTTGGAGAATATGGCCTGTGAGAAGAGACTGGAGGAACTGGGGCTGTTTAGTCTGGGGAAAAGGAGGCTGAGGGGAGACCTTATTGCTCTCTTCCAATATCTGAAAGGTGCTTGCAGCGAGAGCGGGGTTGTTCTCTTCTCACTGGTGACAGAACAAGGAGAAATGGCTTCAAATTGTGCCAGGGTAAGTTTAGTTGGATATCAGGAACCTTCTCTACTGAAAGGGTTGCTAAGCACTGGAATAGGCTCCCCAGGGAGGTGGTTGAGGCACCATCCCTGGATGTGTGCTCTGGATGTGGTGCTCAGGGACGTGATTTAGTGGAGGGTTGTTAGGGTAGTAAGGTTAGGTTGTGGTTGGACTCAATGATCTTTAAGGTCTTTTCCAACCTGAGCAATTCTATGATTCCATGATTCTATTCAGGATTCCCTCTAAAATACTGTTCAATAACGATGGCATAACAAGGTGTTGGGCTAAAGAATTTCTGTAAGCATCTGGAAAAGAAGTAACACCACAGAAGGATAGCTAGTGAAAAAGAGCACGGGGAGGGAAGCTGTGACAACTTTTAAGTTGCATTTCAAGTGGTAACTTCCTTTCAGTGGGAATTATCATGGTGACAAACTGTATCTTTCTAAGAAACTTAAATGAGAATAGCAAATGGAGGAAGAAAAAAAACAGTTGTGTAATAACATATGAAAAGGCTGAAAGAAAGCAGTGGAAAGTGCAGCAGAAACAAATGGATTGGATTAGGGAACGAACAATCAGCATTAAAAAAGCCTACAAAGGCTGACTCTAAATAGTAGCTTTTAATTCCCTGGAACCTGAAAAGAACATGTCTAAAAGACAAGGATTAGATCTGACCAAAGGTCACACTCCAACTTCTTACTCATAGCAGGGTGATCTTCTAAAGCTGATCTGGCTGCTCAGGGCGATGTCCAGCTGAGCTCTGAGTATCTCCAGAGATGGACATCCCACCACCTATCTGCAACCTCTTCCAATCCATCACCACTTTTATTCTAAAAATACTTTTCTCATGTCTAGATGGAATTTCTTGTGCCAAAACTCGTGTCTACTGCCTCCTGCCTTTCCTTGTGCCCTTGTGACTTTGACTCCACCTTCCATGCTATCCCTATCAGGTGGTTAAAGACACAGTTAGACCCCCCTTCAACTACAGGAAGTCTCTTCCAAGCTGGCTAAGAACAGCTCCCTCAGTGTCTTTCCTATGTCAGCTTCCCAGGCATTCTAGTTGTCTTCCACTGGACTCACTCTATTTAAAGAGAAAAGAAATCAGAAAATACCATCTTGTTTTATACTACACATTGGTCTTTATTTGCTTGTAAGGCACGTCCATAATTTGCCAAAATCAAAATTAGTGACAAACAAGTTTCTGCAACTTCAGGATGAGGAAGGTAAGTTATTAAGCCCTTATTCATGAGTAAAAAATTATGTCACAAAGGAGATGGGAAAATATGTTTGGTGTTACACAAAAAACAGAATCCAAGACTTCAGAAACTTTTTTCCCATTAAATGAGGCGTATATTTTCTGATTGAATTTCAAATATTTCAGTGTTGGTGAAATATAACCGACCTGCAAATCCTCCCCATTCTGTGCTTTACAAAATGCTTTTATTTTCTCATGACATTCAATCAAAATAATTGATCAGCTTCTTTGTAAGAAAAAGGATTACTTACTGCCTTCCCATGTACAGTGTAAGAGATTCAATGCTCCCTCTACCCTTTTCCAGTGTTGAAGATGAAAGAAAGCATATGCTATTGCTTCACTGTCCCCTCTCTTCAGAATATGTTCGGGGGGCAGAATTAAGCTTTTCATTTCTAGGAGGTACTGCAATAAAAAAGCAGAGGATAGTTATTTCAGAAGTAATAAAAAAGCTGCCTGCAATTCTACAGCGAGCACTGAAAGGTCTGTTTCCCTGAAGTGCTTCATTTCATAAGCGTTTCATCAGATGCGTAACATCACCAACTGCACTAGCAGATAATCACTGAATTATTGCCAAAGCATAAGATATACTGACAGATGGCTCATGTTGTGCTCTTCAGCTGCAGTAGGAGGACTGTGGAGGATTTCAAAACGAAATGTCTCTCTTATCAAAGGGGCATAAAAAGAAATAGGCTCAAAGCAGAAAAGAGGCTCTAATTACAAGAGCTCTTTAAATTAGAAGCATTTATAATATAATGAAGAAGACATTAAGCAGTTTGAAGCTCCTTGCCCTTCTCTGAGGAAACAGGCAGTACTTTGCACACAGGCTGCTTTATTGCATTGCCATCATCAGGTTACCAGGCCTGCAAGTGTTCAAGGTGAGCGGACAGCAGGGCTACCAGCATTTTATAAAGTAACACCATTTACTTCCAACACAATGGAACAAATATCAGATTTCCAGGAAAAAAATAAATACAGCAGTCCTTGATGTTTAAGTTAGCTAACCAAAACACTGAAAACAAAAAGAGAAAATGAAATGCACCAGTGACCAAACCCACAAACAATTCTCCCCGTTACAGGATCCCCTAAAACAGCAGGTGAACGAAGTACAAGTGGGATTCATGCCATAGGAGAAGACAGAGCTCCTGAATGTTCTTCAAGCAGGTGACTTTCCTCCTTCCCTGCCCTGCCAGTCAGATTGCTGCCAGGTCAGAATTCACCTCACTGCTGGTGTTTCTTCCTTCCTGCTAATGGAGGGGAAAGATAGAATGGAGGGGAACAGACACATCTTGTTTTGGCATGCTTTAAAGGGGAAAGAATGACAGACAGAAATTGGAGGAATCTATTGCTGTCTGTCAGTTCTCCTCTATGAAGTAGAATATTTCCCACCTTTGCAGTACTTTTTCTCCAGGAAAACTGTTGCTCTCTTCCAGGACTCCCTAAAGCAAATATTCTGCCCACTACTATTTAATACTAGGCTATTTAAAGGCCATTTAATACAAGAGGCAACAAGAAGCAGGTGGGTCACACACCACATGGGCAGACCCTGACATGGAGATGGGATGAATTACAGGAGACTGACTGTGGCAGAAAGAAGGATTACAGAGAAAGGAGGGAGATGAGATGGCTCCTTTGGCCACTAGGATAAAGGTATAAGGCTGCAGCACTTCTGGGGAAAAAAATCTACAATATTTACTGACAGGCTGGCTGTTTTGGAGTAGAAAATTGGAGTTAAAGACGAGGAAAAGGCTGCAGATTTTAGACAGGGATTGGCAGAATTAAAAGAAGGTATGAAAGAAAAGGTATGGACAATCACCAGCAAAAAGAGATTAAGCATGCAGCCCCTCTACTTTAGAGAGGTCTTTCTGTCTACATACTGGTCTCTGCCTTGGATGGGAAGAATGAGGGCTGCAGAATCTAAGGACTGCCAAGAACTGAGCACAGGCTGGAAGGCAACTTGGCACACAGAAGTGACAGTAAAGTTTTCACACTGCTGTCAGATACAGATCTGTGAATGGGAGACTCCAGGGCACCCTTGCACACTGGCTCTGTGATGTGTGAAAGAGGAGAAAAGGAGAAAGGGAACAAATGAGAATTCAAAACCATCCTTGAAAAAAGGAAGAGGAAAGGCCAGAGGGGGCTGAGAATCAAGTTGGTGTGATGTCATGGAGGGCATCCTAAAACTAGACTCCTCTCTGCCAGAAGCCAGGAAGGAGCTGGAGAAGCAGGTTCAAGATCTGAAGGGAACAAGATCAAAGCTGAGAACTAACTGACAGCACCAGGAAACAGGTAAGTGATTCAAAGAGGAAAGAAAAATCACACATTTCTGATGCAGATTATTATTAAAGGAGGGCAAACTAAATTAGCAGTGGGAGTAACGTGTGTGATACCTCAATTTTCTATAAAGCCTTTCAGAAAAAAATTGGGAAATCTGTAGAACAGGTAGAAGATGCAATTCAGTAGGCATGGCAGTATAAGAAGGGATTAACAGAGGAAGAAAGAATGGTATAAAGATCTGATGTGAGGAAAGGAGCTGCCAAGCTTACAGATATACAGAAAATTTTCTTATTTGCTGCCTACATGACCTTTCCACCCTTTTAAAATCCCATGCCTACTTGTTGACCAGAATGGAATATGGCTGCAGAACTGATATCTGTTCTACTAATTTAGAACAGAACTCTCAATTCTGTATTTTCTTGCAAGAGTAAGTGAGAAGTTTTCAATATTTAAATATCTCAGTCAAAGGAAAAGAAAACAACATAAAGCCATGAAACTATTTATAAGGGAAAAGCAGGAATGAATGTCCTACCTTGAGGAGTGTTAATGAAAACATGCAGATTTTGTTGTAACACATTGCTTGTTATTAATGATCAGTGATCAGCACCTAGCTAGACTGAGCTTGATCATTAAGGAGATATGACTGTCCATAAAAATGAATTGATTTTATATTCTAGAGTATGTCATCAACTCCTGTGTTGCTGTGTTTTTAAGGAGTATTCGAGGGCATTGAGAGCCCTTTCAGCAGTAAATTGGCTTTTTACAGCACATTTCTGAAGGCTCTGTCCAGAGCACAGACTTACAGGAACTAGGTTTCTATAGTGGTATAGGTACAAGAACTTAGCAGATAAAAGCCATAGCAGTAAGAAATCCACTGGGCCTTACAAGGAGACAACCAACACTCTGGATAGATTCCTCACTGAGCTCTGCCTGCTGATACACTGACTTGTGAACACAACCATGATCTTCACATTTTAAGCAATAAGACGTTACGACATCTTCAATACTTTGAGTACACAGGGAAGACAGGAAACTTCTGTTGTCCTGACATGGCTCTGAACCCAAGTGTGGTTCCTGTGCAGAGGAAGCGTTAAGCAATAGGCTAAGAGAGAAACTGTGCAAAGAGCTCTCAGCATAAAGGGAGCATGGAGAAGGCAAGCCCTGCCCATCTCCATCTGCGCTTCTTTTCAGTGACAAAGGAAGAAGCTTAATTAGAACAGGAAATAATGCACATTATCATCATTACAGAGTTATCATTTTTCTTTAAAAAAGGAATGAGCTCAGAGAAGACAACTGATAAAAGCCAGCATAATCTAGCCTTAACCAAAATGTGAGTTAATACTTGTGGTGCCCAACTATTTCTGTCACCATCAGATGTCACCCAGCCCTTCTCCCCCACACTGTGCTGGTTTGGATTTTGTGACTCTTCTTCGTTTTTTCCTGCACTTTCTTTTCCCACTCCAAACTTCTCCTGTCAAAAAGCTGTCAGTTAGGAATTAAAAGGGGAACAGTATCTTTCACGTAGCTTCTGGGCAGGTTACTTGACACTGTAAAAGCAAAAACATGAACCAAAGTGTTTAGCTATAGCTAGTCTGGGCACAAGTGGGAATATACCTTTTAATGAGCCTTGGGAGGATGGCAGTGGAAGCTAATTTCATTGTTATAATGTCTATAGGTACAAACATTGTGATAACACTCTGCTAGCACTTTCTTGTCTGTGTGAAGGGTAATAAGGTGGAGTTTGTATTTTCTTACTTGAATTGACTGAATACACATTATTTGTTTCATAATATTGACTGCACTCTCGCTATTTCTCTGCTGGGACTGCCTTTAACATTCCAAATTAATAAGCTACTTCAGCGCCCATTTATAAAATAAACCTATATAAAAGAAATCAATCTAAGGAAGGTTTTCCCTCAGTCCTGCATCTTGCCTCTGAAATTACAGCTCAGGCTGTAAATAGGCAATAGTCACTCCTGCACCTGTGACAGCAGCCCTCCAGGCCAGAACACGAGCATTTAACATTGTTTGAACAGGAACTCTCTTCCTCCCTTTGGGATGAACAGCACAAGCTTCATACAGCTCAGAAATACTGGATTCTACATGCCCAGAGAAGCCAATTGTAGGTCACACAGCAAGTTCACATTGGATTGATGGTAATTAACAAGACTGGCCTTTTTACTGGAGATACAAAAACAAATCACTGTCTCACTGAACAGTTACAACCCCTCTTTAAACATATCTGGAATAGTTTCTCTGTAATATCATGGGGTGTGTAGAGTGGATTCCTTTCCCATCTGCTAAATAAATTTGTTTTCATTATTTGTTTCTATTAGCAACTACAACTTACTAGAAACCACAGAGCATTCAAAGACACACAGTCCTCATTACAAATAAAATAAAGAAGGTAAGAAATTAATAATAAAGAATGAAAGGGAGAAGAGGTAAATCTTTAGAAGTGTTCAAGTTAATTGGTTGGTTATATTCTTTTGTGAAACACTTTATACACAAAAGTGGCATTTCTTTAAGGAACAGTAACATTTAGACAGTCTGAATCTTCAAATTCAGGCCCTGGTTTTACATGGCCACCCCACACAACTGTGTGCAGGGCACAGTTCTGACTCAATTTTAAGAATCATATACACAAACCAACACTTGTTTTCTCTCCCTGCTAGATTCAAAGATCTTATCAATAACACGTAAGATTTTTTTTGGTTGGGAGGTGTGAAGGGAGTTGTAAAGATGAGCTTGAGAGAAGGGAGCCCAGCAAACCAACTGAGGAAGGGTGTTCCAGTAGTGAGAAACATCTCATAAACAGCTGTTGTATTTTATTAGCATTTACTTGGATTGCTGCATTACAAATAAGTGGGGAAGATCCAAACACAACAGATAAATAATGCTGATGAAGTCTTTTCATACACCCCACAGACTATGGACTGCCATGACCCTCTTTTTTCTGCACCCTCTAGAATGGCAATCATACCTCAACTGTGGCACTAAAACCATTTTTTGTTTTACTGTTGATTTTTTCAGCAGCATTGTTGTCAGACACAGTCAGCACATTTCCCTGGGACCAACACTGCCATACAGGATGCTGTACTAAAGCAAAGGTATCCCAGACTACAGAATCTCTCTTAAGACAGAAATGGATGGAAATGAGACAAGTAAGCAATACAATTTGGTATGATTCTTCTCTTAGTGGAAATCAAAGCTCTCTGCTTTGTTATCTTTCCTGCTGTACTGCTGACTTATATTGGCTATTGATATGCTTTTCTTCCACTAAAATGAATCCTGAAAATGTTCTTCCTGGTTAACTGCTTACTGTTTAGAAAGTTAACATCTGCCAGGGTGTAAAAGTGCATTTTGCTGAAGCTGAGCTGTTTCAGCAACATAAACAAGACAACCTCCAGAGACAGAGGCAGTATCTTTCATCAGGTCAGCCAGGTCAGCTGCCCGGCTTCCGAGATACATGTGGTAAATTGCTCTGAGCTCTGTATTGCCTTGGTTCACCAAAAAACCTTGTGCCTTCACGTGTCACATCTTGACTCCTGCCTCACTCAAAAACAATGGCAATTTATTAGCTGCAGCTGAGGCTTAATGGACAGATCTCTGGGAATTAAACTGTCATCAAAACATACTTAAAAAAAAGGAAGAGCCCTGTGCCAGAAGAATATTAATTGCTGGAAGGAAGGCTAAAGAAAGGCTTATGCACACACTGGCCCCTAGACAGAAGACAGGTGATTTTGCAAGGTTGCTTACGTTTCTTATCTCTGTGTAAAGATAAGAATCTGGGACTTAGAAACTCCTTCTTCTCAAAGAGTTCCTGTATCTTCTTTGAACACTTGAAATGAAGTGTAAAAACTAAATCTGACCTCTGCAGTATTGTTATGGAACAATGGACTGGAGTCTGGAAAATCAGCAGCACCGCAGGAGTCCAAAGTTTGACAGAAGCCCACAAACCTGTAACAGGCCAGTGGGAGACCTGCTCACCCTTTGGTGCTAAGCACAGCAACATCTCTCAGTGTGTTCAGGCTGTGTCCCCTGCTCCCTCCTCGTGTCATCATCTCATTAGCAGAAGTCTGCTGTTTCCAGTCAAATGGCTCGAAAATGCATATCCAATAACAATCTTTTTTTCTGTGATAATTCTAAATTTTAATGATTTGCACTGAGAATGGTAAAATTATCTTTTGAGACCATAAATATACTGAAACATTTACATTTTTTTCCTATGTAATAGTGTAGCCTCTTTCAAAGATTCTGCTGAGATCTTTGCAAATGCTTTTAATAGTATATCAGTTTTATTACTTATTTATTCCTCAACCTGAACAAGAGACTCATTAGATTTAAATCCTAAAGAAGCTTCTGAAGACACATTCGTTTTGTAGCACTGCTAGATTTTCTGTGATGCTGCTCTCTAAAACTTATTTCCATTTCATCAAGAGCAAAATGGATATCAATTCAACCATAATTGAGTGGAAATTGAGGTGTAATATCCATACTTGGCATAAAATTATAATCACATATATGTTATTGACACCTTAATAGCCTTTAGCTATAAGCAAAGAGAATATGAGTGTTAATATGAGTTATAATAGCCAAGAAAATGAGTGTGAAATTGTTAGTCTGTAATGGGCTACGCTGTTTTAATGTCAAAATATGAACTAAAAAAGCCCAAACTCTGCTGCCATTACTACCTCATTATCCTGATAATTTATACTTTTCACTATGGTTTTTAATTTCCAACTAACTGACTTTGAAATTCAAACTGAAGGAATCAATTAACAGTGTGAACTAGACTGAGAACTTAAATGAGGACTAGAATTTCATTACATTAGAGACAGAGAATAACATGCAGTTTGTATTTCATGTGTGGAGATACTTGTCAGAAAGGGAGTTTCAGTCTTTTATAGAAGCTACCTAGCCAGGTGTTGGTAGGTGAGACAAGGGTCACAAGCAATGAGTAAAGCACTGATCTGCAAGCACAGCAGCATGTTAGAGGGGTGGAAGTGCAGAGATAATGGAGCAGCTGCCACAACTTACAGTAGATTACATTTTGCAATGGAAATCAAGCCAAAGAAAAGAATGCACAAGTACAAACAAAAAAAGAACAAGCAAAAAAGTAGTAAGTGAAGATATAGACTCAGTTTCACAGTAACGTTGAGCAAGGGGACAACAGCAGGCTGGATATTAAGAGCATGTACAGAAGTGGAAACCATTGCAGCCAGTAACCTCCATTCCTGAGCAGTGAAAGAATTGGCCCAGGAAACTGCCAGATTTGCATTACAAGCTTAAAACAAAGATCCCCATTCAGCATCAAGTGATCCAGTAGTGAGAATAGTAAATGGAGTACCACTTATTTAATGAAGGGAAACAGTGTGGATGCAATAAAATAGCCTTTGAAGGAAAAAATAAAAAAGATCAGAAGCAAGGAGATAAGTACAGAAAACAGAACAGGCTCACAAACAGAGCCTGTGACAAGCAAAACTGCTGGCTTGGCAAGATACCTGTTTTTTTAGACAACAAGGATATAACTCTCTAACTGGGCTTCAGTAAAGCATTTTAAAAGTTTCATGCATAACAAGATTAGAATAGAGAAGTAAACAGATGAACAAGTAGAAGAGAATATTAATGGCTGTGTAGGTGCAAGAACCATCGGGATGAAAGAAGGTGAAGAGTTCCACAGGAGCAATAATCTTGGGATCAAACTTCAATGTTTTCATTGTATAGCTTGGCACAAAAGTAGAATATCAGCCAATAATACAAAGAACTCACATAAATCTTGCTGTTTGGAGATCAGGATCTTACTGGAAAATAGTTGCTTCTTTCATAGCCAGTGCAGAAACAGGCACTTTGGAGAGAAAGTCTATCTAGAGATGTCTAACACAGTCCCTTCTTACCACTCTGTCTGTAGAGAATGTCTAGGTGACTTTATTAAGCGGCCTAACTTTCTGACAGCTGAACTATGCTACTTAGTGGATGGCATAACAGATACATGTTACAGAGAAAATAATTCCTGAAATGCATGAGAAAAAAACTATATATGTGTACACATGAGAAATTCAGAGTTTAGCTTGACCAGACTTGGTGTTCAACTCTAGCTAATTAAGGGGTTCCCTATATAAAGATAATCCAGTCTTCTGCTCTCCAGCACGGCTGCTTGCTTTCACAGGGCAATATGGTTCAAATAAGCTTTGCAGGGTGAGGTTCAGTGATTCAAGGGCCAAAAAACATCTGCCTCTAGTTTGCCTTTACAATGAACTTCTAGACTGCAATATTGAGTATCAGGTGAAAAACAATAAAGTACATTAGCTTTTAGTAGCCACAGGCAAGATTCTTACTGCTGAGATACATATCTAGGGAGAGAATTATGAAATTACAACATAAATCCATTTTCTTACTGAACTCTGTAGTTCTCAGTGATTTTTCATCTCTGACCTGTGTGTTCTCAGAGCTTAATGACAGGTGCTACATAAGGAATAACTAATGTAACTTACTAATGTAATTTGAAGCATACTACAAACCCTAAAATAAGCTTTTCGTATAGCATATAAAAATATATTCTTTTAGGTAGCCATCAAAACAAAAAATGACTCTATTTTAAACTAGAAGATTTTTCATGGCTTTTGTGTAAAGAATCATCTGTCCCTATGTGTTCTGCTCTGCAGCACAACATTTGGTGATATCTACTACTACAACTCAGTATACAACTCTTGGTCACAAAGAAGATTCACTTCAGCTAAAATTTCAAGTTTCAAGGTCCACAGTAGAAGAAACTTCAAGGTTGAAAACCAGAAAAAAACCACACTGATCATCTTATTTGCCCTCCCGCTTGTCTCCCCCCCCTTTCCACTAGATCACTTGATAATCTACTGCAATAAGACAGGAGATAGGATCTCAGCAGTTTTAAAGCTACAACAGTGCTTTCTCCATACTCACTTTTGGCACATGTGGATTAAATTCTACTGCTCTGTGAATAGCTTCTACTGCATTCATCTCTGCAGTACTCAGCCCTCGCCTTGAGGCAGCCTCTGGAGAAAATCTAGAAAAGCAAAGAAGAAAACATTGGGTCAGAAATGCTGGTAGGAAAAGGACAGAAAAGGAATTAGACCATGGGCCCATACAAGCAAACTGAATCAATTTCCTGGGCTCTCCAAATTTCTACAGTGAGTGGAAACTAAACGATCTATTATGTCAAGGACAATGAAAATCCCAGCAGAAGTGGAAAGCATGTTTGTAGCTAGTCATGGCAGGAAGTCAGTTGAAACAGTCAGTTCTTTCTCTGTCACTAATCTAAATTCACTCTAGGTACCTTTTCTAAGGGGCATATTCAAGGCTGAAGTTGCAGAAAAAAATAAAAGTGAAAAAACCCAATGCCAAATCATTGTTGGAGGGTTTCTATTAAAAACAGGTTTGGGGAGGTTTGAGGGAGGTCCCAACCCAATGCCCCTGGGTCAGGTTGGGATGGAAGCACGATGCAGCAGCAGTAGCAGGTGGTCTACTGGCCGCAGCACCATTGAAGGTAGCATGCCCAAACTGTGGGCGAATCATCTGCCCCAGTGAATGAAAAACCAGACCATGCAATCTCTTTCTCACCTCACACCCCACGGCTAACTCCAGAGCTGTACTTGGCAGGCAGACACCACAGGGAAAGCTGTGACAACCTTAGCCCTGCCCTCCCAAGCTGGAGTCGCTGTGTAGGGAGGAAAGATGTTGCAGTAGGTACTGGCGATCTAAGGATAAAAAGAATGAAAGAAAATTACTTAGATCTTGATGTGTACATACACTTTAAAAGCAAAAACTGTCAGGATGTCAGTCAAGAAAATGGCTTTCCACTCTACTTGCTTTCCAACTTTAGGGAGGCATTCTGACCCTCAGGTGCACAGACACAACTCCTGCCTGGGATTTGTGTGAAGGCATCTGAGAGCGGAATTGGGATTTTTGAGCTCCATCTCACAAAGAGCTGAGCACACTTTTGGAACGGGCTGCTGCTCTCAAGTCCACAGGCAAAAAGTAGATGTGCTCAGCACCTTGGAAGGTTGAGACCCAAGAGATAACCATAACAGGAATGAGCAGATAATTGTGTGTCTAAAAATATGAACAACTTCTACCTCTCAGAATCCCTGACATGGTAATGCTAAATGCACCTGCCACTATCTAAGCAGTCTTCTGACAGCTTTTGTAAAATGACGTTATTGTCAGTGTATCCACATTTATTTATTACCTTTTTGGGATCAGGTTTATGGAAAGTTGAAGATGTTCAGCCACACAGCACCTTTAGTTGAATTTTCATCATACTGACTAGAAAGCCAAGGCACACCCACCACAGCATCTTTAATTGTATATTCATTATACTACCTAGGAAGCTAAAGCTCACCCAGGTAGTATATACAGAAGTGAAACATGAAGGCTATTTCTCTTCTTTTCTTCTTCTCTAATATTTGAAGTGCAATGTTTATTCAATGCATCTTTTTTTCAGATATAAACCAATTTTATAAATTTCTGCAGGACTGAACTATCCTGCTTACTCAGCAGATTGTCAGGGTGTGGGCTCAGCTAAGAAAAATCTTGAGTTAAATCAGGAATTTCGCTGGAGAGTGGTTCTTATGCACTTACTTGTCAGAGACAGCTCTGGCTTTGAGCAATGCAGCTGTGTAACATATTGTTGCTGATTTTGGTAAGCTTATATCTGTGGAAAAGAAAGAAAACAGTAAATATTGGAACCCTTAAAAGTCTGCAGACAGAAAAAAGTGTTTGATACTTCAAAGTATGCATGGGATGTACAAAATTATTAAGTGAATTCAGAGTACATTCTGTCCTTGGGACTCGTACTACCATGTTGCATGGATTTCAAACTTCCAACCAAGTTAAATATATACACTTTAAAACTCACAATAGTGAATTGCTATTTAAGTAGCAAAAGAGGCCATAGAGAACTAAATGTCATGTCACAAAGAGTGACGTGACAGAGATATAGTGAAAGAATTCATGCTCTATTTCATAAACATAAAGGTAACTGGAAAATGTGATTTTTTCCATAGTTTATGAAATATCTAAGAAATACATGAGGGCTCTTTTTTCCCTCCTGTTTTCACCAAGCAGCAGTTGTTTAATACGCATACGTGGCAACTATACAAGTTAATACAGACATCTAAGTGGATTTTACATGCAACTAAAAACTATTAGTTAAAGATCAACAAGAAATAAGGTGTTTTGCCTGTTAAAGAAATTTTGAACAAAAATACTCATCAGTCTCTGGCCATTTTATATTGTCCCAGATATGAAAAGCAGCCATAACCCTGACAAAACCCATTAGTACAACTTTATTTATTTATTCTCTACCAGCAGACTGGCACAAAGCACACAGAGAGTAGTAATCAATACTGCATAATAAATCTTAGCCATATATTTTTTCTTACAGATACGAGAACAATTGTCACACTAATGATCTACCTAACAGACATACTACATGCTGATGAAAATATTCCAGTGTTAAAATGTTAAAGATTATGCTTAAAGGAAACAAAACAAACAAACAATAAAACCCAACGCTTAGAGCTGGATTCTGCACACAGCACACTGTCTACTCAAGTAAAACCCAATTGGGTACTAAGTTATCAGAAGCATTAAGCCTAGAAATAATACTAGAGCTTCCTACAGTAAATACTGAAAACACAAGGCACTGGACTAGGCCAACTGTAAGAGTGGAATCAGACTACTGCTCCAGGAAATACCTGTCCCTCAGTTTGTCAGTAAAGGTGAGGCGTACAAAAGTTGTTGGGGGCTACCCTATGATACACTCCAACTTAATTTCACAGGACTACTTAACTGTAGTTAACTGCAGTACAACTGAAATCATTCAAATCTAAAAAATCTAAAATCTAAAAATAAAAGCATGCAGAGCAGACTAGGTGAAGGATATGTTAGTTACTGCATTAACAGAAGCTGGCTAAAAACACATACAGAACAACTTCAGTGACAGCAGGAGAAAATGTTTCTAAGGACCTCCAATAGCTCTCCTTATACCAGGTTTTACTCAGCATTAGGAGTTAAAAGCCATTTCCAGTAAACAGAAACAATGTTTTCCCAAATACACCAGTCTTTATTTTCCAGTTGAAGGTTCATTTTCAATCATAAATGGACTGAAAGGTATCTTTCTGAGTGCAGAAAGAAACAAAATACAACAACAACAAAAAAAACCACCAGATACTCCAATGATTTGCAGTCATTCATAAAATGTTTTAAAATTCAATAAAAGTTTTAAAATTGCTCAGTAGAATATCATACTTTCCCTTTACAATTCAAGTGCTTCTGTGGGCCAGTAAGTCACTGTTATCTCACAGAAAATATTTTCTCCTCCGTCAGTTCAAACCTAGCAAATTCCTGCCAAAGCAATGGGATTTTTCAAGAGAATGCTGTGTTTAAATCTGACCACTCGTGTTCAAAACAACAGAAATGAATAAAATACATTGTTATTTTAACAATCCAAAAGAATTAAAGTCTGAGAAAAGATACATCTGCTCCCTGTCCACATCCACAAAGAACAGTGGGGGAGAAGAATAACTGCTTAGGTGAAGGGCAATATTGGCACAAGGATAAACAGTTGAACGTGAAGTTTAAACTGGGGATTAAAAGAAAGTTTCTAAGAAGTAAAGTTTGTAGGCAGGTTTGCAGGTAGAATAATGGGACAAACAAAATATCTATATACCATTTTACAAAATTATATGCACTATAATTTTAGGATGGAGCTTTCTCAGCTCACGGGAAGTGTAATATCATGTAGGGAATGCAACAGCAGGCAACCTCACTTCCCCAGGAGGGCTCTTCCAGAACTGTGCTCCTAATAAGCAAGCAGCAGTTATTTGAGGATAATACCTACAGTCCCTTGGCAATAGAATACATACATACAAATGTCCATGTTTATGTTGCTGTGGAGATAGTGATCACCCCTGCTAGGTCCATGCTTGCTTCACTCCTGCGTTATGCTTTTTGCTTGCTCCATATTGGACTACGTATATTTAGTTCTTCTATATCTTGGCCTGATTACTGTAATACTTTAAATTCCTCATATAATTTAGGTTTCATTTCCTAAATTGCACTCTCATATTTTAGAAAACAGCATAAAACAATTATGCCTGGTTACAACTTGAACTTAGCAAAGGAATCAAGTCTAAATTAGCCCTAGGAGATAAGTCCCCTGTCAGGAACTAAAGTGAAGGTATTCATAAATGAGTGGGTCCAGCTCTTCGAGCCACCTGGGAAAATATCATCACATATACTATTTTCCACCCTTCTACTATTACTTGTGGAGTTCTCACCATGTGCTGAAATATGTGACTGTGATTCTGTTGTTGAAACCATCAAGACATTTTTGCCTAGTAAGAATTGACATAGCAATCTTAAAAAAAAAAAAAAAGACTCTCCTTCTTCTTTATCGTTTTTATCTTCAAACTGAATACAAAATAGTCTAGACTTAATTAACAACCAATTTCTTTGAATTAGCCTCAGTCAGCTTTTGGAAGGGCTGGAAAAGTGAATCCTCCCTAGCTGTTTGCTTCGTAAGTGGCTGTTTTTGAGAGTGAACTAATGGAAAAATACTATGGATAGAGACCTGCAACCATAACACCACTATTTCCCTGATCATGATATCCAGAATATACCATAAATCATCTACATAGGTCTTGGGGTTTATGATTCTCTTAAAACAGCAAATACACCTAGAAATGATGAATCTGAATACAGACTAGGGCAGCATCCCTTAGTCAAGTCACCAGAAAGCCCCACGTATGAAAAGATGAGCATGTTGCAATTGCTTTAATCGTAAATAATCAAAAATCTAACTCACTAATCAGTCATTATTCCCCCCCTATTTTTTTATCCTAAAGGATACATTATTCCCAAGTCAGCAGTGAGGATTCCTATGGGCTTAACTTTGGATAGGTGAGTAGTCTTATCAGTGTCAAGAGGCCTTAAAAATTTACTGAAATAAGCCACAAATCTTGACCATATTTTGCATAGTTAAGAGCATTCCAGTCAAACTGTGAGTCCTTCTTTGCACAGTACTGGAGTCTACATTTAAGCTACCAGATTCATTCATACATTTCTAAAAACGTAACTGTTAATTATATTAATAAACCAGAAAAAGTTTTGTGAAGACATAAAAACAAACCAACAAAATAAAAGATGAAATAAAAGACAGGTATTGTGCTATGGCTCGGTAGTGAACTCCAGTGCTGATTTTCTCTCTCTCAGCTTGTCTGCAGACTCTGGTGTTTAAGTGATAGGCCAACACTTGCCTTGTCAGCACAGAACTCCCCCAGATCTCTGCACCTGCAGACTAGATTGTCAGCTCTTGCACAGGTGGTAGAAGGAATTCCTTGTGGGAAAGACTGAAAGTGGTCTAATAAATAAATATGTGTCAGCTGGATGAGTGACGACAAAAGAGAGATGCAGTCATCTATAAAGACACAAGTATTATGTAAGGATGTGAATTAAGCTGATAAAAATGGTTAAGACAATAGCAATGGGATAGAATTCAATAATGGAAAATATTAACTGAACCTCAGGGGAAAAACACTTTGTCAGAAGATCTGCTGTCTTGTGGCATTACCTCCTACAAGAACAGTCATTGCCTGGGCCCTTTCTCCGCAAAAAAAAAATGTTAGAAACAATGTTGGAAGGAGCAAAACTATGCTCACAACAATATAATGTTTACTTTGGGCTTGCAACAAAAAGCAGTTCTGATTTTCTGTAGCTTTGACATTCTTCCTCACTGGTGGGAAACATCCCAATCAAACAAACACTTAGCCACAGTGTACAGTAAGGCCTTCATTTTGATTCCCTGAAAGAACAGGAAAAGCATTTCAACACAAATGAGGAGTGTTCTGTTTTGCCATGAGCACAACTAGCTCTTCAACTGTTCAGATAAGGACATATCTTGAAGTCACTGCTGGTTGTAAATATGTCATAGCTGAGATGAACATCTTGGTGGCCAGAGCAGGTGTCTATTCCCTTGATTTTACCATGCTCAATCTTTTATGCATTTAAAGGGGAAGGAACCATTTATCCTACAGAAGATTTAAAAGATCAAGATCAGTGCAATTAGTTCAGAAGCCTCAAACGTAATCATACAGCTAAAAAGCCAATCAGTTGGTAAGGACAGAAGACTGATGGAAAGACCAAGTAACAGGTAGCAAATGATTTTGAGATAAAGAAACCAGTTCTCAGATGCAGAAACTGAAGAAGAAAACGTAAGGGAAAAAAGGACAAACCATTCTCCTGATACTCCTGTTACCCAAACTGGAGGTGTTACCTGATTGGCATTTGAGATGGTAGAGTAGGCTTGGTTTGACTTTAACTAAGAGGAACTTAACATCTCTCTTTCAAATAAACTGAACTATTACAAAATACCATGAAAGGTTGCTTCCATACTGTCACTTGCTATATCTTTAACTCAGAAAAAAAACTCTTTCTTGCACTAGAATGGAGAAGAAACATCAAGTTAGCTTCACCAGATAGAAAATCTCTTCAGTAGTATCAGACATTATCATGGTGAGTAACGAAACGGATGGCCTGCAGCTGTGATCTCAAATATGTATATATACACAAAAGCTCTAGAGACCATTGCTGATATAAATGAATACTCCATCTAATTAGTTGATTATCTATTTACAAAAGAAATGCTGTGAAGTTTGATGTAATTAAAATCTACATATTTCATAAGTTTCATAAAAAGTAGAATAACCCTGAATGTGCTGCATTCTAGAAAACTTATTTCTCTACATTAACTATTTGGATTTCGAAACAGTAAAGGTCCAAATTCCTTTTATGCTTGACTTTCACAGGAAAATCTGTCAAAATAATTCTGCAATCTATACTCCTAGACTGAATAAGAATACGATCAATTCCTGATCATCATGCATATTCCAAGACAAATACGACTGTTTCTAATTGTTTATTTCTAAGGTTTGCATTTTGATATCACACTAACTTAAGAGCAGGATTGTTTGAAGTAAGCAGTTACCAAATAAAAGTGTAATAGTGTGGAGTAGAATGAGACCTCTTTAAATAAAGAAATAATAATTAAAAAAAACACAACAAAAGACTGAATCCAAACAAACAAATCAAAACCCTCACACTTAATTTCTATGTATACTGAGTTCTAAATTCTCTTTTCTAGTGATCCGAATTCAGAACTGTCTATATGGTGATGTGATTCTTCTCCTTTGCAAGTGTTTAAGTCAAAGGAGAATGACGATAAGATGTTCCCCCTGCAACCCAGAAGGCTTATAGTCTCTTTGGTAAAGACCGACTTTAAAGAAATAAGAAAACAAGGAGTGGTTGAGGGAGCGATCACTGCATCAGTACAACTACATAAATGGGCCTCTATCCTTCCTAAATTTTACTTTCAATTATCAGGAAGGTCTGAGCTGTCACACAACGCTCAAGTTACCAGAGAATAACAATCAATGGACCTGGCTGTCCAAGGAAGTTAACAAACCGTTTGTTCTAAGCACCACAACAAGCAGCTCTACTCCACTGAAAAACAATCAGTTTAAAAAGCAAGGGAAGAGCAGATAAACACTATCTACTGTGAACACCAGAAGCTTATTCCATCAACATGAGTCTCTTCAGCATCTATAACTATTTCTGCTGTAAATAACATGGATGCGTGTCAAAACAGAGTCAAAACTTCTTTTAGAATTCAACAGTATTTAGGTCATCTGCACTCTATTGACAGGCACTGAACTCTGAAACTATAATGATGTAGCTCTGCAGCAGTGCATGACTTCCCACTAATGAGGCCCTTTTTCCATGAATAATGAGTATAGACATCAGCTCTGTTGCCAGGTGCATAATATAAACACTATTTAACACACAGCTTTTGGTAAAGCAGTGTGTCTGCTTGCAGAGGCTGAGCTTTTGCACAGTGTGTTCTAATGCTTTAACTCAGGGTGGGAGCAGGCCACTCAAGAAAATAATTTGTTCACATGTTATCGAAATACAATAAGTCAAGTTTGGTCCCAGTCAAAAAAAAAAAAAAAAGACAGTGGAGTGGGACCAACAGAAACTGTAGATGGGAAAGCATAAATGAGTTCATTGTTTTATAATCCAATAAATCTTACAACACATGAAGCTGATGAGTTCTAAAATGAGCTGAGACTCCGTGAGATGAGCCTTCTGAGACTCACGAGCTGTAAGAGTCATACTGGTTAAGCCTGTGCTTGTGGAGTCTTCGTGTATACCAGCATATACAAATACCTCTGCTTATATAAGGCAAAGAATTAGATGAAAATGCAAATAGATAAAGTAAAAAGAGTTTTAGTTAGAAAAATACACATCTGATACATTTATAACCTCAGTTTTGACTAACATCAGATGCTTCTGAGAAAACAAAATTCACCTTCCATAGTTTTATCACCTTCTATAACACAAAGTGCTACCATGATATTGTTTAAAACTAGAGATCAGCTCAGTATGCAAAAGTAGACCTAGCACAGGAGCTTAATCTGAAATTTGGGAAGGCTGATTTAATTCCCTGTTCTGCCATGGGTCTGCTATGTCCCAGAGCTATTATTAGAGAACTACATTAAAGAGTAGGAGGTGTTAAAGTCCCACTGTGCCTGGGGCAGAAAAATAGGCATTTCTATTTACTTTCTTTCTAATGTGCCAAAACACGTGGGGAACTACATCTGCATCACATACCATGTTACCACTTCAGCTGCAGATTTTTTCAACCAAACTAAGCATGACCAAGATCTCTAGTAGAGTTGCTACTGCTGCTGGATGGCAGTACTTAAAAGCCCAAGTAACACTTTCATCTTTGCTTACAATTATTCAACTCCAGAAAGAGCTGAAAACATTCCATGTTGGACTGGTAGCAACAATCGCTAACAGTTGCAAACACTTCCCTTAAAATACCTCAGCTCAGCCATAGGCTGAAATTTGGCAGGTTAACCATGTTAGCAGCAAGTCAGCAGTCAACTGCTAACCTCCTTAAAATTTCTCTTAGTTTACTAAGTTATAAAATGTTAGAAGAAAGCAGCTAGTACATATTAAATGGAACCTTTGGCTTTTTTTTTTTTTCATTGATACCCTCTAAAGATTCTTTGTTCATCAATTGTACTTCTCAGTATTATGATGAACGTACACATTATCCTCTTGCCACAGTTCTGTGTAATTATATGGGGCCAAGTAGTGCAGCTCACAGGGAAAACCTTCTGTTTCTATGGGCTCTTATTCTGTTTGACATTTTGGCACTCAAGCAGAGAAAGCTCAACAAAGAGAAGACATAAGCCACAGAAAAAAGGGGAAAGTGGAAAAGGTGGTAAGTGAAAAAGAAAAGATGGCTAAGACAGGAACTGTAAAGTGGGTGAGAAGATATATTATGACCATCACTGCCCTGAAAAGCCAACCTGTACAGGTACATCTGTACAGGTAACATGGGGTAGAGATGAAATTGACAGTGAGTAGCACTGGCTGAACAAGGAGCTTCTGGTAGGAACTGGGAGCAAAAGAATGCAGAAACTTGCTGTGCAAAACAGCTGAAGTAGAAAGAAGTTCAGTAGACAAATAAGAAAGATCAGCTAAAGACAGAATGAAAAGGATGGCAGGTTTTTCAGAAGAATCAGAGTGGCCAAAGTACTGTGAGTATAGGTTCCAGGGCCCATACTGGTTGTCATATTTAAGGAACACATGAAAATCTGTAAGATCTAATAATTAAAAACATTTTAAAGGCTGCAAGATATAGCTAGAGAGTTAATATCAAGATTTATACTGTTTCACTTAATTCAGTCACTTTCTTTGCATATTATCATCTAGTTTTCAGTTGTGTAACTGGATAATACTCATTTCTTAATCTTCCTTGCCATATTCCAGCGCATAGAACGACACTTTTCTGAGGACCATCCAGGAACAAAACAGGAAATTGATGGCTGCAGCATTCTTGACTCAATTTTTGCAGAACTTACCAAGTGGACAGTGAGTAAACTGGGGAAAATAAGAGTGACATTGCTAAGGATGATTAATGTTGCTCAAGATAACTGGATTCTATTCCTGTTTCTGTCCCAAAGTTTCTACACAATACAAAGAAAACCCATTTAACTTAACAAAGTATGCCATTTGGTGATTTTTACCCAGTCCATTCTCTGTTTTAGGCTGTAAGAAGAGGTGTGACTTAAACGAAGAAAGTGACACATACTGCACTAGGCCAATGCTTACAGAAATACTGAAAATGAAATGAGAGTGAAAAGTTCACCAAGTCCACTGAGCTTTCCAAGTTTTCCCCCTAAGATATGAATTTTGCTACTCACTGGGCTGCTGTGAAGTGAAATCAATTAATATTTGTAAAGTACTTGTATGCAACTTAGTCAACATTCACGAGAATGAGAATTTCTATACAAGGAGAGTGGTTAGGCCCTGGAACGGGCTGCCCAGGGAGGTTGTGGATGCCCCGTCCTTGGATGTGTTTAAGGCCAGGTTGGACGGGGTCCTGGGCAACCTGATCTGAATGTGTGTGTTTGGTGGCCCTGCTAGGCAGGGGGGTTGGAACTACATGATCCTTGAGGTCCCTTCCAACCTGGGTGATTCTGTGATTCTGTGAGAAGTCCACATGGGAACAGATAATCCTGTCTTCAGACAATGTTTGAACAGCATGCAATGAAGAGTTTGCTGAACCTAAACAGTCATTCTTTAAACATCACTGAAGAGCTTCTAGTAAGTGAATTCCATTATTTTGTATAAGGAATAAAGCAGGGTTGGCAGGAAAAAAAATTAATACATAATCTTTGGAATAAGGGCTGTGTAAAGGGATCTAGGAAGCTTGTGTGAATCACCTAAATTACAGTATTTCTTAATTTTTAAAAGCTTGACTAATGAATAATGCTTTTGTGTGCTTTAGAAAATAGAAAAAAAATACAGATAGAAAAAATAAATGTATACATATATACATATATATGGACTTACCATCATACTTCGCTAAGACTGCCTGGACATCCGCATATGCTTGCAGTTCTAACAAAGCTTCTAGCAGGTTTTCATGGATATTGAACATGCTGAGAAGAGGAAATTCCTTCATCAACTAAAATCAGTAACACATGAAAGGGTTAGATTATTAATATGGAAAATGATTTCTTGCTCAAAATGCACTGAAATAACTAACATCAAGTTAAAACCCCTCTGCTTCCTGTGTTCTTGTCTCTTTCCCTGAGTTCACTATTATCTCAAAAATTTTTGAGCTCTAAATGGGCACTGGGTTAGGTTTCTTGACAAGACATGCATAACACACAATTAGTCAAACCCAAGTTCTGCTGTCTGAATGTGCAACTATCATACTACTAACAGGTTTTGTTCTTCAAAATGAAAATGGGTTTTCCTATTGCACTGGATAAGAATCTTCCCCAGAATAACTGGTATATCAGTAGTAAGCAATCCAGTACTTCTCTGGCATATCAGTAGCAAAAACAGAAATTACACTGAAGAAAATCAGAACAAAATCAAATGACAGAAGTTTACATACGTGCAGCTATATTTATTAAGTGCATTATGATTTGTAATCATGGATACTTTAAAAAACAATTACAATAATGGCCAATGCTAGCAGTAAAAATAAAATAAAAAACCAACAATAATACAAAAGGCATAGATTATACAAATCTAACACTGTGAGTAAAGAATCTGTCTTGCATGGCAAGCTGAATGAAGAGAGTAGTTAAATTAATGTAATCCTCTTCCATGTAAGTGCCTTTAACTTTGTGAAATGTCTGAGGAATATCAAGAATTTGTTCTTAGACATCTTCCATTTCAAAGTCTGCACAGCTCCAAATGACATAAGGTCATTTTCTACTGCATCTCCTTTTTGAAGCCACACTTACTAGGAGCATCACTTTTACTGCTTACATGATTAAACATATGTATATTTATTATCAGAATGGTTCTCCGAAGAACTGAAATGTTACAAGAGCCTTGCTTCCTCACATCTTCTTTATGGTTGTTCTATTAGTACTGTCTATGTGATGTATGTTATGGATGGCCACAATGCTCCTATTCTTAATGGCTGAAGATGAACCTGTGAAGATGAACCTGCACAGTTTGCAGGCTTTCCTCCTTCTTCAGTTTTCCAAATAATGGACTTACTGCTTGCTTGTCTTTATGAAGAATTTTGACCATTAAAAAGTTTGTATACTTGCTCATGAAGAAAAATAACTGCAGGTGAAAATTCACATAGCTGGATTCCACAGTTATGGATCCAGCACGCAGTTTATCTCTTTTCATTCTTGTCCATACTCACTATTGCATATTTAACAGTCAAAACTACTACTTGGCAGGAAAAATCATGACAGAATCTGGTCCTACGTAAAAAGTGATTTAAAGTACAGAATGAACATATTGCAAACAAGCCTCTCCAAGGGATTAAGAAAGATTATCCCTGCTCACTGGGAATGAATAATGGCTGGCAGAACAATCTTCCCTCCATCAGCGAAGAAAAGGGAAGAGCTGCAGCTAGTTACAGATGTACTATGGCCGGTAAAAGTTCCTACTCTGGTTCTCTTTGCTTCTCACTGACATCATTCACTGATTTTTTTCTACTTCGGTTCTGTCAGAGTGATAAACCTCGCCTAAGACAGCAGTGGAGTAAAGGTCACTGCTTGGACTAGAAGGCCTCTGAATTTACACGTGTTAACAGGGGTTTCAGCTGGGAAAGGTCGAATGTTAAGAGTATGAGTCAAAATGAACTCAGTTAAAATTCAAGCTACAGAATTAAAACAACTCTAAATAGCCACTCAACTATTCTAAACTTGACTTTGCACAAATGACAACACAACTGTTATGAAAAAAAATTAAATAAAGTAGAGGACGAGCTCATTATGTCAGTATATAGCTTTTACTGCAAATGATTTTCAGTCATGGCGAAGACCTAGTTTTTGAGGAGCTTCCTAGAAAGTAAAGCCAATTAGATGGAAGCACAGCACGACAGGTCACGATTTAGGCCTCACAGTGAGAGAAAACGCTGGGGAAGTTAAAAATAAAAAGCCCCAGAGGTGACAGCATCTCCTGCTGGGCGCTGAGGGCAGGCCAAATACGTTGGGGAGCAATGGAAAGCTGACTGTGGGCCGGCTCCCCGCTCCTCCTTCACAGATGGGGAGCAGGGCTGGCCCATATTCCACACAGAGCATTAAAGACAGGCACGCCATCTGTGAGGGTGAGGTGAGGAAGGCACCCTCACGTTCCAGAAACCCTCACAACACTGGGCTTTTCTTTGGACTCCAGTTTGGGGCACACACCTGCCTTTGAACCCAAAGATGTATTTTCTAAGGTGTTACAAACTGGAGGAATTGTGCAGCTTATCAATTTTAATTCTTACTATCCTTGCTGTAACAGACAAATGTCAATATTTTGGTGGCAACCACTACACTCAGAAGACAAGATAAAGGCTCTACTGTCACTTTTCTCTGCACCTTACTATCTCAAGAGACAGTCACCAAATTCAGCGCTCAAGATTTCTCACCAAAGCCACTGAACACTGCTTGGGACTGAAGATGTCATTCTAACACTTGAGTTAGTTGGACTCTTGGCCAGTATGAAAGAGCTGCACTTCTCTGAGCTAAGCTTGTTTTCATACCATATGAAAACCAACACAGCATGGCCACAAATCCTTAAAATATAGGATGATTAAACAGATATCAAATATCATACTGAATATATGCTCATAAGGATTTTATCTGGAACTTGCATTGGTCAAAATGTTTTCTCTAGTGCATTAACCCATATTCTGTTCCAATTGCTCTGTGAATTTGGGGGGAAATAAATACATCAGTAGTGAAACACTTATTTGAAAGATTCATTAGCTATACTGCAAATACACACAAATGGTAGCTTTCACAGATAATTCATTATTATTATTATTTATTTTGTAGATAAATAACATTCTGGGAGTGTAAGTTTGCAGAAAAATTCTGGAAATAAGACTGACACAATTGGAGATCTTATCACAAGTCCCAGGAGGGCTGTATTTCCAGACTCACCCCAATCCATATTGCAGGGTGTAGGTTCAGTGATTTTGTGATGGATATGAAAGAGTGATGATGACAAAAAGTGCTTTACGGTACGAGGAAATCCCAATCTGATTTACTGGATGAGGAACAAGTTACATCTCCCAAAGAAGACTTTAATGAAGAGGACTCCCTTCCCTGAGAAAATTTCCATCATCAGCATTTTCTCATTTAGATATAATTTTTAAAACATTTTAAAGGAATGTAGCTGTAACTGCTATATCTGTTTTTTTTTTCCCTGTGATGACAATAACCTCATGTATCAATTAGCAATGGCGCATTATTTGTGTAGGGAACAGCTTTAAGTTATAGTTTATGCCTACAACTAGGCCATGGGACCTGAGAGAATACAGAGGTGGATAAATGAATGATCTTATACATAACCTGGTGTTGACACATTTATTCTCTATTTGCATTGCGGCTTACAGATGGCCACATATTTTAAGGGCAGTGCACACAACCATTCATTGCTGCTTATGCTCATACATTCACAAACATAAGTATTTTAAAATCAATGGTTTCAAGTGAATGCATTCATAAATATGGAAAGTAAATGCACTTTAAAACGAAGAAACAGCAACAAACAAGTTCAGTGGAAACAGTGAAATCACTTCAACTTTAGCTCCCATCTGTTACCACCGTGTCTATCTGAAATGGTAAAACCTGTCTCCTAAAAGAGGATTGACTGAAGCTGCCATCTTCCAGGTGTGGCTATCAACCACCACTGAAAACACAAGCACACAGCACGGACAGTATTGTTAATTTCATCAGTACTTTGCATAAGCTGTTTTCTGGTATATGACTTACAATCTGTAAGTGCTGTTAACCAAAGAAAGCAAAAAAGGCAAAAGATCAAGCCATTTTTGAGCAGATGGAAAAGAAACCCTAATTTTCTAGGACTTTATTACCTACGGCTGAAATTTTAGATGTCTTAAACTTTGTCTGAAGCTTGCCCTAGGCTTGAGGCATTTGAGACATGTCACTCCAAATGAACTCAGTGATGTCTAATAGAAAAAAATTATGTTTAAGGTTTTCTCCGGTCAGTTGACCAACATGATCTTTTTCCTTTATTCAGCTACTTTTCCCACAAAAGCTGCAGAAATGTATTATCTTAACATTCTGTTCTGCTCACAAATTTCATTGAATCTGAATGATGGATCAAACATTCCTTCTATAGAAATTGAGATTTGATTATCTAAACTTTATTCTCGTAGAACACCAAGCTAAAAATGATCTGGTAAAGAGCGTTGTTGTAAACACTCTGATACTGAAGCTATCTGACAGCCAACCAAACACACTAGAGCTCATTTGCCAAGTCTGAGAACGGAGATCAAAACCCCCTGGCCACTCACCTGGCAAGGAGAGAAGAAATGTCAGCAAAGGTTAGCACGCAGAAAGGCTCCAGTTTACATTAACTTTGGGGTGGAATAGTTATAAAATTCAGCTGATATTCAACTTCTAATTTGGCAAATGCAAAATTAGCTCTAGTGTCCCAAAATATTTATGGACAATGTGTCTTTTGTTTGAAATAGGATCCGACATTAAAGAGAGAAATATCTTACCCACTATGTAAACTCTAAGGAAATGTGCTAGAACATGAGGCCTGTATGTTCTCTCTTAACTGGAGGATTAAAGACTTCAGAGTAAGACTTCAGCACTTTGAGGAATATAATTATGAAAATGCTTTTACTTGAACTATGTAGTAAAAATGCACATTCCAGGAATTAAGAGCACTTTAAAGGCAGATGTGGCACGAAACCAGAAGAGCAGAAGTTGCTCCAGATGTACATTTACTACTAAATAATCACATCGCATAAAAGTAGTATGAGAAACTAATATTTTTTGTTACATCAACCGTCAGCATAAGGCATGAAAATGAAGTCATCACTCATAGCCCTCTTCAGAAAAAAACACTTCATTGACATCATCCTCGAGAACTTTGCAGAAATTTTCATAATTTTAGAGGTAGACTCTGAAATGAAATTAAAAGAAGGAAATGATCTAGTAGCTCAAAAACAGGCTAGGAGAT